GCCACGGTGGGGGGGGGGCTTTTTTTTAATAAGTATGCTTTGTACTAAACTGGCAAAACGTAGCTGGACGTGCCATATTTTACATTAATTCATATAGTGGAAAGAAATATATCAAACTACATTTAATGATTCTTTGGCGTTTTGTAGGGAGTGCCATGTTACTGAAAACCGATCGCTTTTGTTGTAGCAATATTGAAAAAAGCTGTACATCATAATAAACCACGAAGTTCTTTGGAATTCTTATCATATTTGTAACTTTTGTTATTAAGTTCTGAAAAACTAATAAGGTCATAGTGTCCAATATAACAAACTGAACATGATTAAAGTATATTATATATATATGGGTATCTAACTGTCTGTCTAGCTATGTGTATATACAAAAATAATGTCAGCTTATATATATATATATATATTAAGATTTGTTTAGGCATACTTATAACTTTATATAAATTGCATAACTATAACTTCTACAGTCGACAAGATATGCATGCAGTGATAGTGGAAAATGAAAACAACTCAAATAAAGTTGGCGGTGGGGGGTGGTGATGACTAGCTGCCTTCCCTCTAGTCTTTCACTACTAAATTAGGGACGGCTAGTGCAGATAGCTCTCGTGTAGCTTCTATATTTTCCACAGTAGTGTTATAAACTGGAGGATTTAATATTTCGATGTTAGGCTTTTCCCTTGCCAACCTCAGATTGCTTGGATAACCAAAGTTGACTGTGATTCTTTTGAATTGTCTTTAACAATTCGAATTCATTTTGTGCTTATGTTCTGATTGAAAGAGACTGCGCATGCACAATGTGTAATAAATAAAAGGGGAAGGAAGAGAGAGATGACGAGATTTGAGGAAGTGTAATGTGTAATAAATGAAAGGGAGAGCTGGCTAGATTTGAGAGAGTGTAATGTGTAATAAATGAAAGGGAGAGCTGGCTAGATTTGAGGGAGTGTAATGTGTAATAAATGAAAGGGAGAGCTGGCTAGATTTGAGAAAGTGTAATGTGTAATAAATGAAAGGGAGAGCTGGCTAAATTTGAAAGAGTGTAATGTGTAATAAATGAAAGGGAGAGCTGGCTAGATTTGTGTAATGAATGAATGTAATGTGTGACAAGTGTATCTTTAAAGTAACGATTTCTCCAATTGAAAAAAAAAGAAAAAAGGTTGGATTTGAAACTTAGCAAAAACTATCTAAAACTTTGAGCATATTATTACTCTACTTGCATAATATAAATTCAATAATTCGATTAGACGTTTCACAGGTTCATTACGCGTTTCAAAGGTTCATTATATATTCCACACCAACCGAAGGTGTTATCTTGTTCCAAATATGATGTCACTATTTATTCATCTTACTAGGTTGACGAAAAGAAGCCCAAGTTATATTTTGGGCGATGCAGGGAAGAGAAACTAATACATGAATACACTCAAAATGAGACTGAAAGGAGGTCAGAGGAAGAAGAAAGAGGTCCACCAGTTATTGACCCTTAAGCACGTGATTACAACGAGGATTTCCGTTTTTGAGTTATAAAAAACGAAAGATATTTTAGGGTAAGTAGTGCTCCCGAATAACAGAGAAAATATAATACATGTGCCAATCGAAATTCTGTAAGATTTATTAACTCGGTTATAAACAAAAAGTAACGAACGAAAGATGACGAATTCACTCGTTTTTTTTGTGTGTGTTATTGTCACTCGTTTTTTTGTGTGTGTTATAGTCACTCATTTTTTTGCGTATTATAGTCACTTGTTTTTTTGTGTGTTATACTCACTCGTTTTTGTATGTGTTATAGTCATTTGTTTTTGTGTGTGTTATAGTCATTTGTTTTTGTGTGTGTTATAGTCATTTGTTTTTGTGTGTTATAGTCATTCGTTTTTTGTGTCATAGTCATTCGTTTTTTGTGTGTTATAGTCACTCGTTTTTGTGTGTTATAGTCACTCGTTTTTTGTGTGTGTTATAGTCACTCGCTTTTGTGTGTGTTATAGTCACTTGTTTTTTCGTGTGTTATAGTCACTTGTTTTTGTGTGTTATAGTCACTCGTTTTTGTGTTATAGTCACTTGTTTTTTGTGTGTGTTATAGTCACTCGTTTTTGTGTGTGTTATAGTCACTGGTTTTTGTGTGTGTTTTAGTCACTCGTTTGTGTGTGTTATCTGACCTCGATTATATGTTTATTTGTTTTTACAGTGGGCTATCTGCAGGTATCGAAACCCGATTTTTAGCGCCATAAGCCTAAAGCTTACCGCTGAGCCACTGAAACTTGAACTTGCTATTATGTAACTAACAGAAAAGAGCGTACTAAAACAAGTCAGTTAGAATCCTCGAGCTCTTAAGGCAGTCACGGAAGCGGGACACAGAATTTAAAGGTTTAATAATACTAACTTAGTATACCAACGTACAGTGACATAGTACGTACGTAGTGTAGACATCTATTTTTAAATTTTAATACACCTGCTATAATCTACATTATGTTTGAGAAACTGAAACACATTTGAGGGTTTAATATCGAATAAAACGCGTTTTCGTCTCTCGACTGCGTGTGGTAAAAACGATGACGAGTTAGAACATGTTTTACTGTAACGTTAAAGGCTTTCCTATCAACCGGTTTATCTACTAGACTTTGCGTTATCAGATTACAAATGAAGAAGATAAAGATGAAACGGTACAGGAAACGAAAGATAGTTCCTATGATTTTATATGTATATGTTTTCCACTTGAAGAATGATTGATGCATTTCCATAAGTCGAGAAATTATATTGTTTGTTTGTATGAGAGCAAAGCCATACTAGACTACCTGCTGTGTCCATCGTGTGGAATCGAACCCCTGATTTTAGCGTAGTAAGTCCGTAAACTTACTGCTATCCCAGCGGTGACAAATTACACTGAATGTAAATTCAGGAAACCATGATCAGAATTTGTAGTATAATTGGGGTACTAGTAAAAACTATAACTGAATTATATATGAAGAATGTCTTGAAACTAAATCATTTGCATTATAAAAAGTAAGAGTTTTGTTAGTTATTAGGCACACCTGATTTGTGAAAACAGACTAAAACACATATATCCATCTGTAAAATACACGATCACAATACTGAATAAAACTATATTATATATACGTTATAGGAAGTTCATATGACATATATATATACTAGTTCTTTACGAAAGAGCTCTTAGGATTCGTTTTACCTAATGTTTGTACACATATTTGTCACTTATTAACAAAAGAGTTGTTGGGTTAGTTTTACCTAATGTTCGTAACATCTTTACAAAATAATATATGTATATTGGGGAGTTTCTTTTACCTGATGCTTTTATAAACTCATGGTTTTTGGTTTTTTTACAAATAAACTTGTCTGACTTCGTTTTACTTATTGTTTGTACTCATGTTTGTTACTCTTTTACAAAAGTTGTTTGACTTCGTTTTACTTATTGTTTGTACTCATGTTTGTCTCTCTTTTACAAAAGTTGTTTGGGTAAGTTTTATTTAATATTTATATTGTTATTTGTTACTTCTTCACAAACGAGTTGATGGGGTTGATTTTACACAGTGTTTGAGGTTATGTGTGAACAGCTGAAAGTATGTAAGTGTGGAACATTAGGTGGCTAATTCTTCCATGTAATGGTCAGAGGGTAACGTTACAAGTTTTATTTTTGTCACCATTGGGGTTCATTTTACACAGTGTTTGAGCTTATGTGTGAACAGTTGAAAGTATGTAAGTGTGGAA